ACTTAGCTGAAAAGGTTGAGAGCACAAGGAATGGTGAAACTAGCCGGGCTCCTGGGAAACAACATGAGGTTCAAGGAGAAGATGCCTCGCACTCACCAACTTGCATTGGGCAAACTACGGTACACGAGGAATCAACTTCGCACATGCCACTTTCAGACAGGAGCATTCCAGTCATAGGGGGCATGATACCAGTAGATCGGCTTGACGAGTTCATCATGGGAGCTATCAAAGGAAAGCTCGAGGGGGGATAACCTTCATACACTTACACCAAACCTTACACCCAAAGGATAGAGGATTTGAAGATGCCTGTTGGCTATCAACCTCCAGCATTTCAACAATTCGATGGGAAAGGTAATCCAAGACAACACATCGCCCATTTCGTAGAAACATGCAACGACGCTGGGACGTATGGAGACCTTCTTGTCAAGCACTTTGTCCGCTCTTTGAAGGGTATTGCCTTCAATTGGTACACTGACTTGGAGCCTGGCTACATTGATAGCTGGCATGACATCGAGCGCGAGTTCTTGAACCACTTCTACAGCACAAGAAGAATCGTCAGCATCTTAGAACTCACCACCACTCGCCAAAGAAATGGTGAACGCTCGGCCGCTTACATTGAAAGATGGAGGGAGTTATGCTTGAATTGCAAGGAAAAGATATCACAGAGCTCCGCGGTTGAAATGTGCATCCAAGGCATGCACTTCGAGCTCTCCTACATCCTCCAAGGGCTCAAGCCTAAGACTTTTGAGGTATTAACTAGTCGCGCCCACGATATGGAGTTAACATAACAGCTAATGGTGGACAAAACATACACATTCAAAGCTTCTACAATGGGGGCAAGAGTCATGATAACGTTGAAAATGGCGACAAGGCCTTTAAGAAATATGAAAGCATGGATGCTATGCATGTGAATATTCAACCAGCTAGGATATTCACTGAAGCTACTGGTGAGTCTAGGGATGCTTCTAGATCATTACAGGGTAGTAGAAAGCTTTCTTTCAGGGAAAGATAAAACAAGAAGTATCCATTCTTGGATTCTGATGTCCCACATATGTTTGATGAGCTACTAAAACACAATCTCATTGATTTGCCAGAAATGAGGCGACCACACGAAGCATCAATGGTGGATGATCCGAGTTATTGCAAGTATCACAGACTTGTCGGACATCCAATTGAAAATTGCTTTGTCTTTAAGGATAAAGTAATGGAGTTAGCTCGAGATGGGAGAATTGAACTTGCAGATGGCACAGCAAGCGCCAATCAAGTTTCCATCTCATGCGGTAAATCTACTTCGCTACTCATTGAGAGGAACAATGTGAAGGGAAATAGAAAACGACAAACGTATTTATTCCTTCTTAACATCAAGTCTTATGATACCAAACACAAGTATGATACTCGGCATGGTATTAAGCATGCTAAACAACAACACGTTGATGATACGACACGACCATCTAAGCAAGTTATGAAAAGGTGGGTCAAGAATGTTAAAGGGTTCTATTGATGGGAGGACTTGCAGCCACAATATGAAAGCACGAGTTCCAGTCACATTGGCGGATTACGTGCCGAAGTGGTTCCATATTACTCCAACTAACCAAGGAATGAAGATGAAAATTCCTCGAATCAACCCATATGCTAGAGAAGAATGTGCCTCAACACATTATACCACAATATGTGATGGATGAAATATTCTTCAAGCTTCCTCAATGTGAATTGAAAACGCATCATATTCAAGACTCCCCGGCACGAGTCGAAACTGCATCATATTCCTTCAAGACTCCCCGACACGAGTCGAAACTGCCTCATATTACTTCAAGGCTCCGCGGCACGAGTCAAAACTGCCTCATATCCCACAAGGCTCCTTGGCACGAGTTGAAATGACCTTATAGTTTCGAGACTTCCATGCACTACATACTTTCAAGCAGTGTATGCTCTCAAGTGGCATGTCCAAGAAAGTCTCGAGGGGGCAATTTGCACACACAGAAAATTTGAAGCCAACAAGTGGACGGATTTAATCATTATCGAGCCCAATTTCGGGGTTGATCATTAGTCCAATTTAATTAATTGGGCTATGATAATTAAATTAATTTAATTAGTCCAAGTAAATTTGATTTGTGTTGTTGAATTAATTAATTAATTGGTCCAAGCCCATTTCATAATTGAAATATAATTATAATTATAATTTAAATATAATATGATTTTATTATATTTGAATTAGATATATAATTTAATTTGAATTTGAATTAGATGATAGAATAATGAACCTAAACTTGATTTTGGCATGGTTCATTTTAGTATATAATTAATTAATTTAATTAAATAAATATGAGTGGAGTTTGTTGAGGGATTTTTGTTACAAACTTCACTATAAATAGAGCATCAATTTCATTCTTTAAATCAAACCTTAAATACATTGAGAACAACTTGAAGACTTGAAGAATTGAGAGCTCCTTGAAGGCATTTGAAGATTTGAAGCCGCTTTGAAGATTTTGAAGCCATTGGAGGTACTTTGAAGCTTTGCAGAGTTGACTGGCTTGAAGCTTGACGTTTGCTTGCTGTTGAAGATCACGCCACTTGAATACGCCATTTTGAATCCCGAAGGCACGCGCCTCTTGAACCCCGGAGGCTACGCTATTTGAATCCCGGAGGCACTTCAGTAGATAACATTAGTGAAGAATCAGAGGACTACACAGAGACTTTGTACCTGCATCTTGAACTACACACACTGTAAACAGATTTTGTGAATATATACAATTTCGATATTTTTTGTGTTTACAAATATGTGTGTGTGTTATTATTTGACCTGTTATATGTATTGTATTTTCAGGACTTCTTTGTTGGGCACGATGTTGTTAATTTGGGTGATGCTTATGATGAGATATTGGAGTTACCTGCGAATGGTTTACACATGTTGCATTACATCTAATTAAATCAACTTCATAAAAGTAATATTTTATATAATATAGTATTGTAATTAATTTATTAAATTCTGAAGGGTGTGTTTAAAGTGGATGAGTCTGGTACTATTGACTTAGGTGGAGTTCCTCAAGATGGAACACAGGGCACCGTTGGAGATTCAGTGAAGAGGTGTTTGATGGACGAGTTCGCAAAAGTTGTAGTGCCTAAAAGGCGTAGGACTTTGGCTATTAAGGAAGAAGTGATTAAGGAAGAAGAGATTTAGTGCGGTGACTACTGGTTGTGTTGGTTTTTGTGTGGTGTCTGGACATTTAAGTATTTAAATATTTCAGTGTTATATGTATTTAATTAGGGCTGTTAACGAACCAAACAAAAACGAACGGAGGTTGTTCGTGTTTGTTTGTTAAGGAATTTGGAGTGTTCGTGTTTGTTTGTTAAGGTTTTTAAAAATCCTGTTCGTGTTCGTTTGTTAAGCGTTCGTTAGTGTTCTTTAGCGTTCGTTAGTGTTCTTTAACGTTCGCGAACACGTTCACGAATGTGTTTGTTAACGTTAACGAACATGTTCGCGAACGTGTTTGTTAACGTTCGTGAACACGTTCGCAAACGTGTTCGTTAACGTTCACAAACATGTTCATTAACAAGCACGTTCACGAACATATTCATTTACGTTCATGGACACTTAATAAACAAACACCTGCACATGTTCATGATCACAATTCGTTCGTTAACAATAAATAATCTATGTTCACGAACAATAGTCAAACAAACAACACAACTACAAAACTAATATAATATAATATATATGGTTGTGAACAAGTTCGTAAAGATTATTAAACGAACACAAACGAGCTTGTTCACAAACATTATTAAATGAACATAAACGAGCTTGTTCACGAACATTAGTAAACAAACACAAACGAGCTTGTTCACGATCTCTTAGCAAACGAGCTTACAATTGTTCAAGCTCTATTCGTTTATTAACCGAGCTCTAAATTTTGTTTGTTAATGTTCGCTTACCTTAACAAACGAACATAAATGAATGCTTACTGAACACGAATACGAGTAGTTTGCCGAAAGCTCTGTTTGCTAACACCCTTATATGTAATCTTTGGTAATGTTTAGTTTTATTTGAACTGTGTGTTTCTGCTTATAAATGTTTTTAAGCAGAAATGGGTTCCCCTTCCCAAAAAAAAAAAAAAAAAAAAAAAAACAGAAATGGATGCCACATAATTTGTTTTTTTTGTTGCGGCTATTTTAGGGTTGGTGTTCTGTAATGATAATTTATGTCCTTAATATTTGTTTGTAGTTTGTGCTATTTCAATTTAGTAATTTTGTTCCTAAAAGCATCTATGTTTTATAATGAGGTTATGTACTAACTATTATTGTTTTTAGAAATAGCATAAAAAAGGCAGTAAATTGTTCCTGCTGATAGTGTTAAAAGCCTTTCAGCAGAGCAACATAGTGCAATTTCCTTTGGGAACCATCAAAAAAATGATGTGCAATTTAGTTGGTTTGTTTTGATTTCAACAAAAAATAAATCATAGTAGGTAAATAAAACAGAATTTGTAATTAAGTGAGTTTTAAAGTAAATAGAATGTTCATAGTAACCGTTATCATACAGCAAGTAATTTTAATTGATAAAAGAGTTTATGGACTAATTATAACATACAAATAGCTCACATTACTACTGTTGTGGTACATAGATAAAATAAATTCTGTCACTTCCGCCTACGGTTCCACGGAGCAAAATCAGAGAAAGGACTTTGCTTTTTCTTCATGTTCTTCAATTTGGAGATGGGTACAAGCCCCACTTTGCTCTGAGGAATTCAAGAGCGCTGAGTTGCCTGGAAAGCTTAAAAGCAAGGAGCTTGACCTGCTAAGTAAGCCATCACATAATAGTATTTTATTATCACCTTCCAGTTACTGTATTTAAAATAAATAGAATGTTCATAGTAACTATTAACATGCAACAAGTACTACTCATTGATAAAAGAGTTTATGAACAAATTAAAACATACAAGTAGCCCACATTACTACTGTTGTGGTACATCGATAAAATAAATTACAGTTCTTGCGCCTACGACTCCATGGAGCAAAATCAGAGAAAGGACCTTGCTTTTAATTCAGGTTCTTCAATTTGGAGATCGGTACAAGCCTCACTTTGCTCTGAGAAATTCATGAGTGCTGAGTTGCCTGGAAAGCTTGAAAGCAAGGAGCTTGACCTGCTAAGTAAGCCATCACATAATAGTAGTCTGTTAAGTAGTATCATTTGTATTTAACATCTAATTATAACATAAAAAGTCTCCATCGTTTAGGTCATTTCATAGATTATAAGTTTTGACTAACTAAGTTTATGTATCATTCATGGAAAATGCAAGGATGTACTTCTATTCAAAATATGTAAAACACAACATGTATACTTTTTCAAACCTTGCAATTTATTTGTAAAATAAAGTACATGATATATATATATATATATATATATATATATATATATATATATATATATATATATATATGTATGTATGTATGTATATAAACACATAGAAAACTGCAGATGATTTGAGTAAACTGCAAATGCATTAAGTAGATAACCTGTCGAATTTCAAAAATAGGAGCTGCCTCATGCACACATTTTGTTGTTCCTTGGTCGTAATGATGCGCAAACATTGTGTCAGAACATTGACTCGATCATTTCAGCTGAGATTCCAGATAGAGGAATGGATCCTGAATACTATAAAATTGTTGAAGAGTTTATGATTCACGGTCCTTGTGGTCATCTTAGACATAATTCTCCATGTATGGTGAAAGGTCGTTGTTCAAAATATTTCCCAAAAAAGTTTGTTCATGTATCAGGTTTTGATCAAGATGGGTACCCAATTTACAGACGCAGAGACAATGGTCAAATGTTGATAAGAATGGCATTATATTGGATAATAGGTTTGTTGTTCCACATAATAGATACTTACTTATGAAGTATAAAGCACATATTAATGTTGAATGGTGTAACCAGTCCCGTTCTATTAAGTACTTATTCAAGTATGTTAATAAGGGCAATGATTGGGTCACAAATGAATTCTACAAGAGTACTGCAGGTGTTGATAGTGATGAAGTTATAGATGAGATCACTATGTTTACGATTGTCGTTATATATCTGCATGTGAAGCTACATGGCGCTTATTTGGTTATGATATTCAGTTTAGGACTTCTGCCGTTGAAAGATTGAGTTTTCATATGCCTGAGCAACAACCTATTTTTTTTCAATGATGATGATTCTGTTGATGCTGTTTTAAACCAACATACAATAGGGGAAAACATGTTTCTTGGATGGTTTGAAGCTAACAAGCAATACTCAGAAGCACAGGAGTTGACTTATTCTGAAATGCCAAATAAGTTTGTGTGGAAAAAAAAATATTTGACAATGGCATCCTAGGAAACGAGGATTTGCTATAGGTCGTATGTTTTATATTCCACCTAGTAGTGGTGAAATTTATTATATGAGGTGTTAGCTGAATTTGGTGCATGGTCCTATGTGTTTTGAAGATATCAGGAGTGTTAATGGTGTTCAATATATGTCTTTTAGAGATGCATGAGGGTTGTTAGAAGATGATAGAGAATATATTGATGCAATTGAAGAAGCAAGTGAATGGTCTTCAGCATCCTCACTACGGAGGCTATTTATAACAATGCTCACGACAAATGCCCTTAGTCAACCGGAGAATGTATGGAATGTTGTGTTGGAAAAAATAGCTTAAAATGACATAAATGACATGTTAAGTGGCTATTTTGTGATAAAATTATCAGTGGGGTCCACTTTCGATTTGGGTCGGTCAAAGTGGATTCGAGTTCTTCGTAGTGAGACGAAGAGATTGATATATTGTACGATCAAAACGGATAATGGGTGAATGAGATATTGATTCTCAAATAGACCCATTGAGTTGGAAAAATGAAGGGAAAAAGTGAAGCTTTTGTCCCAGAGAAAATTTCAATTTTGGTCATATGACTATAGGGGCTTTATTAATTTCAACACCTGACTTTTAAAAGTGTCAATTTAGTACCTTAACTATGTAATTTTTATCAATTTTGGTCACTCCGGTCAAATTGTCAGCCAAATTTCGCTGAAAAAATTTAACAGTTAAAATAATAAGAGTATTTTAGTCATTTCTCATCTCTTCTTCTCCGGTGAATTTTGTTTTCCGGCGGAGAACACCTTCATCGCGATCCGGGTCGCCCCGACCCGCGTCAACACCCCGAGGCTCAACGCCGACGATGTTCACGCCAAACAGCCTCAGTTGCTTAGCAGCAGCCTTGCCTTGGTACAAAATTGACACTTTTGAAAGTCAAGTGCTGAAATTAACAAAGCCCCTATAGTCATATGACCAAAATTGAAATTTTCTCTTTTGTCCCACATTAGTTTGGGAAGAGGATTTGCCCCACTATTTATACAAGAGAACTTTTAAAGTTTATTGAATTGTATAGCATAAAGGCTTTCTTTTGCGCGCACCGGGGGGGGGGGTGCATCTCAAATCCCAAAATGAGATCCCCTAAGTTATGCCAACTGATGTCTCGACCTTGGGCTGAAACTAGGCGAGGCCGGAAGTTTCGGCCTTGAGCCGGAACTGGGTGAGGACGAAAGCTTATTAAATTCATTCGTTACGGAATTAATTTTCTTTTAATTCCATTTTTGAATTCTGAATTTAATTCTCAGGTAGTGGCCTGCTGTTATTAATGTCAGTTTTAATTGCCAAAGTAAAGGCTATTCATTCCTTCAACCCTATATAAGAAAGAGTTGGGCAGCAGAAAATTTACAACATAGAAATCATATTTTTCTAGCCTAAAAAATCTCTGCTTCTACTCTTTTCTTAACCCGAATTGTGTTCAAAATGTTGCTCTAGTTCGCCGGATTCCTCATTTGGGTGCTCAAACATTGAATCGTAGCAAGTTTTATCATGGGAAGCCTAGGCTAGAACGCTCTTAGCACTTGTGGGAGGTAGCAAATAAGATTTTAAGGAAAAAGAGATCGTTTGACTCTTGCTAAAAACCCTACACCAAACACGAGTCTTTCTCTTCATCTTTCATTCCTTTTTCTACAAAAAATAATAATCCTTATTTTGTGGGATTATTATTCGGTTTTACCAACGAGATATCCAACGTGTTGTATTGCATCACCTTGCTGAAGATGTGCAATACAACCGACAAAGATTACTATTTGATTCAGGTATTGTTTCAGCGCTATATTAAAAGCTTTTTTTTTTGTTTGTTTCTTTAAAATGTTAATAACAAAATTTTTGCTCCATTTGACATATGTAAGTTAAAATTAATATTATTATTTTATCTAGGTTTGGTTTTAACAGATGATGAGAAGAAAAATTGTGCTTTAATTGAACTGGAGAAATTGCTCAAAATATGAAACAAAACGTTGGCAGATTTTCCCTCCATGCCTGTCCCAGGTTCAGATTGTCATTTATTGACTGCGAACCATTTATTGTATGAGGAATTATCATATAATTGTGATGATATGAAGAGAGAGCTTGATTGTTTTGTTAGTCAACTAACTGAAGAACAAAAATATGTGTATGATACTATACTTGGTGATGTTGAGTCTCATGCAGGTGGGTTATATTTTGTGTATGGTTATGGAGGTACATGCAAAACTTTTGTTTGGAAAACACTGTCTGCTGCTATTCGTTCACAGGGTAATATTGTGCTAAATGTTGCTTCAAGTGGTATTGCTTCTCTTCTTATGCCTGGTGGTAGAACTGCACATTCTCGGTTTGCCATACCTATTGAGATTAATGATGATTCAACGTGTAATATAGCACAAGGTAGTGATCTTGCTGAGTTAATTATCAAGTGCAAGCTAATCATTTGGGATGAGGCACCTATGATGCATAAACACTGTTTTGAAGCATTGGATCGCACAATGAGAGATTTGTTGAGATTTGAAAATATCTTGAGTTCAAATATGACTTTTGGAGGAAAGGCGGTAGTTCTTGGTGGTGATTTTCGGCAAATATTACCAGTGATTCCAAAAGGGACAAGACAAGATATTGTTGGGGCAAACATCAATTCTTCTTATTTGTGGAGTAGTTGTAAGGTTTTAAGATTGACTAAGGACTTAAGACTACAGACATTAGGAGATGTTGATTCTTGTGCACGGGTTGAAAAATTTGCAAAGTGGATAACTGATATAGGTGATGGTGAGGTTGGTGTTGAAAATGATGGGCATGCAGACATAGAAATTCCAATAGATAATTTGTTACAACCTCAAGGTGATCCAATTGAAGCAATAGTTAAGAGCACATTTTCTATGTTTTTAGCGGGTAATTGTGATTTGGAGTATTTGAATGGTCGGGCAATATTAGCTTCAACATTAGATGTAGTCAATGAAATAAATCAATATATGAGTAGTTTGAATCCTGTTGATGGTAGAACATACTTTAGCTCTGATGCTGTTTGCCGGTCTGATATATGTACATATACGTTTGCTGAATTACACACTCCGAAATTCCTGAATGGGTTGCGATGCTCTGGTATTCCTAACCATTCTGTTGCTCTTAAAGTTGGATCTCCAGTTATGTTGCTGCGGAATATTGATCACTCTCTTGGCTTGTGTAATGGAACAAGATTGGCTATTACTAGATTAACAGACCATATATGTTGTTGAAGCTGAGATACTGTCTGGAAAAAATGTGGGTACTCGAGTATTGGTTACTAGATTATCAATGACACCATCAGACCGCCGATTGCCATTCAAGTTTGAAAGGCGACAATTTTCACTAATGTTGTCTTATGCTATAACAATAAATAAAAGTTAGGGACAAAGTTTGACCAATGTTGGATTATTTTTGAAGGAATCTGTTTTCGTACATGGACAGCTTTATGTAGCTCTATCTAGGGTTAGCAACCCCAATGGCCTTAAGGTTGTCATTTTAGACAAGAATGGAGATTATGCTTCCTCAACATCAAATGTTGTATATAAGGAGGTTTTTAAGAATTTGTAACTTTAATATAAAAAATTGTAATTGCTATTTTTGTTGTATTAATTAACACAAACTATTTTTTTGAATGGTATAATAATATAATATATTTAATTTATATTTAAAATTTTAGACCGTGCATCACAAGGGTGGCATACTAGTCATAATAATAACCTAGGTGATTTTCGCCCCTCCTCCCCTGCGATTTGGCATTTTGGCCTCGGGCTCCCCTGTGAATGGTCTCGACGAGGACTCGGGTCTCCGCCTCCACTATGAGAGCTGCCGATTAGAACTCCGGCTCCAGGCAGGCAAGCAGGCATATGTGTGGATGTATCAAATTTGTGGGGTTTCATTTCTCTGTACCTTTCTCCTTCAATTCAGGCATATCTAAGATAAGGTAAAGCTTTGATTTTTATGCTACTTTCTTCATTATATTGTTTAGGGCGGATACAGAAATAGTTTGAGAAGATGCAGCGCCTGCACGCCATTTTCACAAAAGCTTTAAAGTCTATCATCATACAATACTGCTTGTTTATTGTGTTCATTTCAACTTTCAACTTTGAAGAGACGCGTTGCCACTGTACAAGTAGTTATTATAGTTATAAGGAGTAAAGTGGAATTTACCAAAGTTTTAGGGACTTAATTTGTAATTTCTTCGGGTTCAATCCAAACCCGGGTAACACCCGAGATCCGTTAAAGTTAAAGAGCCATACTTGACCCGACCCTAAAAAGCAAAAAGCCTTCTCTTCTCTTTCCTTCTTCCTCTCGCGACTCGCGATCTCTCTACTTCAAATATAACCAAAAAAGGTCAATCTAGGTTTTTTCCCCTTCGACTTTGATCGTTCCCTCTCTTTAAGTTAGCTCAATCCACAATTCTACATTAAGCCTTCTCTTTTAATTAAAGTTTAACCTTAATCAATGATGGTGTTTTCTTGTTTGTAATGTATTCCAGGAGTTGGAAGAATTCTGATCAGTTGATACAAAAATGGATTTAGTGGCTAAGTATCAGGTAATTTTCTGTTTCTATTATGTTTTCTCAATTACCTCTTTAGTCCAAAGAAGGATTTTATTGAAACCTTTATGTTTGTGTTGGAAGCTGATTTAAAGTCAACTTATTATTATTGTTGTTACTGCTTTGCTTATTATTTTGTTCTATATTTTGGTGTCGGACATTGATTTCTGTGCTTTGCAATGGGACTGTATATGTTGATAATTCATGGACTTTTAAGATGTGATTAACCCTGGAGTAATTCGTGTACAGGGTGTTGTTGGACGGGTGTTTGGCAATGATAATTCCAGTTCAAGTGAAGATAGGTAAGCTTTTATTTTAATAATAATTTCTATGGTGAAGAACGATATGCTTCATTATATTCTGATGGCTTTGTATGGATAGTGATTCATTTACTTTGTGGACTACTTGCATGATGATTCGTAGAATTCAAAGCGTCCCCTATAAATGACATTCCTACAATTCATAAAAAAGTTATTTATTATTTATTTATTTTTTAAAGTATGCTTGCTTGCACTATCTACTGCCCCACCCCAATATATGCACGCTTGTTTTGCTTCATTGTTTACAATCGTGTTATGCTCTAATATGAATCCTTTGCCTGAACTAATGCATTTGTTTATATCACATAGTTATGTTGAGCGCTTGCTTGATCGCATAAGCAATGGTACGCTGGCTGACGACAGGAGAACTGCTATTATCGAACTTCAATCTGTTGTTTCTGAAACTCATGCTGCACAACTAGCATTTGGAGCTATGGGTTAGTGCTTCATCATGTTGGATGAACTTGCTAGTTTATTTTTTTCGCTTCTTTGTCCTCCCTCCTTATTGTTCAATTACTCTTTGATGGTTAGTTACAATCATTTCATCAGTAGTATTCATTTTCAGATTCCATCTGTTTGCAGGTTTCCCTGTAATATTGAGTGTTTTAAAGGAGGAGCGAGATGATGTTGAGATGGTATGCTTGCTATTTCTTCAAATTTTAAATTTGGTGTTGTCTGCTTTGTAGTTTTCTAGTTGCCAGTGATGAAGCTATGCTCTTTAGTGTAATGAATTGGGTCTATGCAAGGGATTTAATGATTTATGGAGTACTGATTTAGAACAGGCACCATTTTGAGTGACATGCCATCTCAAGCATAGCATTTTATAAATTGGATTATTTAACAACTTGCCCTACTAAAATAACAGGTGTATATGACTATATGGTAATATCACATAAGCACTTAACATTACATCTAATCAGTGAGGCTATATTCAGGAAAAATTGCATGTTTCAGTACACTATATTTTGAACATATTGAAACTCCAAGAAATATATTAAGCATTCAACGAACATGTATTTGTGACTTTATTGCATTGCTGTCTGTTGACTTAAATTAGAACAGCTACTCAGTCCTAGTCAATGTCCTTTTTAAAATATCCAGTCATTCCTGGATCAATTTTGATCCTTTTTTGTTGCACTGAGACAACTTACAGATTGGTGAGTTTCGTCTATTTCCATTTATACATCCTGCTGTTTTAACTACTCCCCTCAAGCAACAAATATTGATATGACTTGCTCCTTAACTATGCAACAAGTGGGATTGGAAATAAGCATTAATTATTTACCAAAGTGACATTACTATTTGTTTGGAAGAATGATTTACTTGCTATTGAATAAATATCCTCACTTTTCTGCACCACGATGCTTTTAATTCTGGTATCCCATTCATCATGGATTTTATGTATTTTCATGAAATTAAGTTTCTATTTACGTTCACCTGATTTTAAAAGTTTGTTTATATTTGATGGGCCAAGGTTCGTGGGGCTCTGGAAACTCTTGTTAGTGCTCTAACTCCAATTAGTCATGGAAAAGTGCCAAAGAATGAGGTTCAACCAGCTTTAATGAATAGTGACTTGCTTTCTGGAGATGTAAAAAATATTTCTCTTCTTTTAAGTTTGCTGGTAAGAATATAATGACTTTAATTTTGTTAGTAAACACTTGATTAATTAATTAGTTTATTTTGTTATCATGAATTTTCTGTTGATTTTTCTATTCTATCACCCTGACAGTCAGAGGAGGATTTCTATGTGCGCTACTATACACTGCAACTTTTAACAGCTCTTCTAACAAATTCTCCAAATAGGTATCTTTAGCATGGTTACTTTCTTCATATTCTTCCAGCATGTTATTCTGTCTATGCCCACTATTCATGGAAAATCTGCTGAAATATTGCTTAGGTTACAGGAAGCTATTCTGAGTATTCCCCGTGGTATTACACGACTCATGGACATGCTTATGGATCGTGAGGTATGTAAAACTTGAACAGTGTGCATATATTTCTTTATTCTTCTTCTCTAGTAAAAGATCCTAAATGGGGAATGTTTTGAAGGTCATAAGAAATGAGGCCCTGTTACTTCTCACATACTTGACCCGTGAAGCTGAGGCAAGTTCTCTTCTCTTCACTCTATTTTTTTTAAATGTTTGTTTGCCCCTACGCTCTGCCTAATTTGGTCTTATTTGTAAACTTTAGGAAATTCAAAAAATTGTGGTATTTGAAGGTGCTTTTGAAAAGATATTTAGCATTATAAAAGAGGAGGGAGGCTCAGAAGGAGGAGTTGTTGTGCAGGTCTGGAGAAATAATTATTCGTAAAATGTTAAGCATTTGCATCTTTTGAACTTTTGCAGTTAGAGACTTCTATTTGGAAATTATGTGTTGTTCTAGCTCTGCTTGGACTGCACTCTTGGTTACTTGTACTTTTATTTTTTATGCATTACATATGAATTGGTCTTTTTACCATGCAGGACTGTCTTGAATTGTTGAACAATATCATTCGTAACAATGCATCAAATCAGGTTTCTGCTCATTGTGCTTCACTTCATATCATTACAGATTTATATGTTTCTTGGCAGTTACTAAGCTTCTTGTATGTGTTTTAGGTATTACTCAGGGAGACGGTGGGCTTTGATTCTGTCATACAAATTCTTAAGCTCAGGGGTAGTGCCTACAAATTCACCCAACAGAAGGTTAAACTCTTAACTATTCCCACACTTTCTGCATTTATTTATTTACCAATATGGTTGTCTGCCTATCAGTGGAAATATGATAACCTAATCCTATTGGTGTATTTTTCTCTTCTCTTAACTTATTTGATTGGCAGTAGACAATAAACCTTCTCAGTGTGCTTGAAACGATAAATTTGCTAATTATGGGAAGTCCAGAAACTGATGCTGCAAAAGACACAAATCAGCTGACAAACAAAACGGTCTTGGTTCAGGTTTGTTCTTGCATGTTGCATCTGATTACTAGGTTCCTGAGATGTTCTTTTATGGAATTGCTTGACTAATCCATTATACCTATTGTAGAAAAAGGTTCTGGACCATCTTTTGATGTTGGGAGTTGAAAGCCAATGGGCTCCCATTGCTGTGCGTTGTGCGGTAAGAAGGATGATTCTCTATCTCATATCCTATTTTATTGGAGTTTCTCTGATGTTTCCCCCCACCCACCTTCCCCCTCAAAAAAAAAAAAAAAAAAGAAGAGGAAATTAGGGGGAGTAGGGCATTTTTGTTAGGGCATTTTTTTATCCTCCTTTCCCAACTAAACTGATATGATCAAAACACCTTCACTATTTCCATTTTTAGAAAGAGGCATGGAAGTACTAGGCATTTGAGAAAATTCCCTAATTTTATACTCATCCTTGTCATTTTCTCTATTTGATTCTCAATAATCAACCAAAATTGTCAGTAGGCATTTTTTTTTAATACGTTAGCATATTTGAAATTTTGATTCTTCTGGAACATAGTACTCTCAACATAGTTTTTAGAAGACAATTTTAATTTTTGATCCTTAAAAGAATAAAGTTTACAATTAAAGTGGTTTGGTGACACTATCTTTGTCTTGTATTGAACTGTTCAATAGAATATTGAAGTTGATCTTGTATCTTTCTATCTGATAATTTAAATTAGTTTTGAAATATTGCACAAGAATTGTAGATTGTCAGAAAGACAGAAACACATCAGATCATAACACAATTAGGAGTATATCTGTGTGAATTTGACTCCTGTTTTAGCATTTCATTTACAAAGTCATTTATTTTGCATCTGAAGAGAGAAAGTTGGACATTCAAATGAGCATAGAGTTTATATATACTCTTTTATATCACCACTTTTGTCTCACTTTCTATTTTGGGGTGTCCCATTAACTTTGTCTCCTATGATAAGTTTCCATTTCTATGTTTTTTGGTCCTTCTCTAGCCTTATAAGTTATATATATCATTAAAGAGTATGGAGTAAAAGGACACAGTGGCCCACAATCAACTGCTTAAGGATATTTTAGTCTTGTCATTTACTACTCGGGAACAATAAGTTTTCCTAAAGCCTCATGCTAAAAGCTAAAGAAGACAAATCTAATAAGTTTTGGATGGAGAGGGAGTATAAACATAAATTAGATGCTATTATCATAACTTTTTAGGCATTTTTGGGATTTACTTTTTGTCCATGATGTTTGATTCAGGCACTCCAGTGCATTGGTGATCTAATCGCTGGTCACCCCAAGAATCTTGAAGCACTTGCAACAAAAGTACTGGGTGAGGAGCCTCAAGTGGAGCCTGCTTTGAATTCTGTGCTTCGTATCCTTCTTCGCACATCCAGCAGACAAGAGTTTGTAGCTGCTGATTATGTTTTTAAGAGCTTCTGTGAGGTTTTTGTTACCACAGCTAATTTGTTGTGTGTTGTGTATTATTATGTTACTAAGAACTTTTCCCAATTCTCTGTGGGCTTGAGGATATATCAAATTTGACCTTTTCTTGTTTGCTCCACTGAAATCCTTTCTTGAATTTTGTCTTGTAGAGTGTTAGCTATACCCCCCCCCCCCCCCCCCCCCCTCCCTTTTTCTCCCCAACACACACACACGGACACACATCTACTGTTGTTTATACCTTATTTATTTGTCTGATGCAGGAAAATCCTGATGGTCAGTCAATGTTGGCATCTACATTAATTCCTCAGCCGCTATCAACTCTTTATGCTCCTGTTGAGGAGGATGTTAACATGTCATTTGGAAGGTAATTTATGATTTTCCTATCAAACAAGGCTGGCTTTCTTCTTCTTCTTCTTCTTTATTTTTTTTATTTTTTATTTTTTATTTTTAATAGTGTCTCACTCACCTATAAGCTGATTGAGGCGATTGCATATTTTCCAAGACCTACTTCAGCAGGAAAAGAAAAAGTAGAACAATAGCTTCAAATTTTAATTGTTTCAATGAACATTTCATTTGGCAGCATGCTATTACATGGTCTTACAATGGGTGAAAATGATGGTTATCTTGAGGTAATATACACACTATACACATCACTTGATATGCCCTGACCTTATCTATTAGAATCATTATTGTTATTGCCATTATTTTCATAGTATGACTGGTGATTTCATTCTAAATGAGTGGACACTTTTTATTCTCTATTTTGTTCACAAGGAAGCTTTGTGCTATGTGCTGCATTTTTTCCAAAGACTATTAGAACTTGCAAAATTTCCTGTACTTTGTTTTTTTTTTTTTAAATGAAATGTGGTTTAAAAATGTTTTATTTTACACTTTTTTTGGTATACATTTTCCCTTTCTGAAGAAACCCAGCATCATTTACATTTGGCAGGAATTATTGTGCTTATTTTCTTGTACTTCCCCAGTTTCAGGGCTGTCAGTTTTTCCTTATTTATGATCTACAAGCCCTGAACGCCTTCAACTCTTCTACCCCTTATTTTTCCTTCTATGAAAGGGGAATGTGGATTTCAGGATGTTAACATATTTCAACGAACTTATGACAAGTAGTATACTAATTTTCCAACCAATAGAAGTGTCTTGAACAGCTTTTACTGATCATGAATCTTTTCTTTTCAATAATTTTCTTTGTTATTAATTATAATTTATTGATATGTCATCTGGCTAATGCTTAATATGCAGACTTGTGGCAGAGCTGCCAGTGTTCTTTCTCACATCCTCAAGGGCAACAACCATTGCAAAGAAAAGGTAAGCCGATCTGTGAACTCTCTGTTGTGAGCAGAATACTGGTTTTCTTCTTCATGCAATATGATGTTTTTATCCTGCTGGCCCAACACCATAAGATACATAACTGGGTAACTAGGTGCAGTTACTCAGATACATTGTACATTTAGCTTATACTATTGTGCAATTTGTCTGCACATTGGTTTCTTTAATTTATAATTCTGGAGTTACTGTAGGTTCTGCGGATTGAACTTGAAGCACCTATGCCCTCATTTGGAGGTCCAGAACCTCTAATGCACCGCTTGGTGAAGTACCTCGCTCTTACCTCCTCAATGAGAAGCAAAGATGGAAAATCAAACACATCTGGCAATATTTTTGTTCAGGCTGTTATCCTGAAACTGCTGGTTATTTGGCTCTCTGATTGTCCAAGTGCTTTGGAATCATTCCTTGATTCACGCCCTCATCTAACATATTTGCTTGAACTGGTGTCAGATTCCTCTGCCATTGTTTGTGTAAGGGGATTGGCTGCAGTATTAATGGGAGAATGTGTTATTTACAATAAAAACAATGGTACTGGAAAGGATGCTTTAAGCATAGTCGATGCCATAAGCCAAAAAGTTGGACTTACATCATACTTTCAAAAGTTTGATGAAATGCAGAAAAGCTTTCTTTTTACATCAGCAAAACCAGCTTTGGCACGTAAACCACTGACAAGATCTAATGCTGCCAGCATGGCTGATATTGAAGATGTGGATGATGAGACAACTGATCAGAAGAACGAGGATCATCCTTTGCTTGCATCAATCTTCGATTCTCAGTTTGTCTACTTTGTAAAGCGCTTGGAGGCCGAAATTAGAGAAAAGACTGTAGAAGTATACAGTCAACCAAAGAGCCAAGTGTCAGTTGTACCAGCAGATCTTGAGCAAAAGAGTGGGGAAAGTGATGGCGACTATATCAAGAGGTTGAAGAATTTTGTACAGAAACAGTGCGTCGAGATACAGGTGAGAGCTTTTATAATAGTGTACTGAGTTTCTTCCTCCCGTTGCCTTCTATTCAGCTAGCATCACTTTACTGACATATCCTGCTGCTTTATGAAAGGACCTTTTGAGTCGAAATGCAACATTGGCAGAGGATCTTGCCAAAACAGGTGGAGATCCTTCATCTCAACTGGAGCATAGAGTTAGTGGAGGATCAGAAAGAGTTCAATTGGAGACGCTTCGTATCGACCTTCAAGAAGCTTCCCAACGCATGGAAATGCTGAAGATAGAGAAGGCTAAGGTTGAATCCGAGGCTTCAATGTATAAAAACCTAGCCAGTAAGATGGAATCGGACCTACAAAGCCTGTCAGACGCATATAACAGTCTGGAAGAGACAAATTTCCAGCTAGAAAAGGAAGTGAAGTCCTTAAAGAGCAGCGGGGCAACTGCTGCCCCCAACATCGAGGCAATAAAGGCAGAAGCGAGGGAAGAAGCTCAGAAAGAGAGCGAAGCTGAACTAAGCGATCTTCTCGTCTGCCTTGGTCAAGAGCAGAGCAAGGTAGAGAAGCTGAGCACGAGACTAGAGGAGCTGGGCGAGGATGTGGATAAATTGCTAGAAGGCATTGGCGACGATGCAGGACTTGGTGATGATGGCGACGAAGACGAACAGGACTAATGCTTTTTTATTTTTTCCCTAGTGTTTATTCCTTGCTCGTTGCCTAAATTTATTCCTTGTATTTGTTGGACCTACTGTACATTACATCGTGACCCTAATAGCTCCTGTAATTTATTTTTTAAGGAAGTTGTGCCCCAATGAAACCACTTGTTCTTCTTGACTGTGTTGGACATTATTCCAATTAAGACAATCTCAGAAAGTTGTTAATATTCCTTTTTTTCTCCAGCAATTTTTATTTTGTTGGCATGCAGGAACTAACTTGAGACCTTTTAGTTAGAATTGCATGCAAATGGTATTAGATAGTGAGATTTTAATAAACAAGAAAATGGCAGATAGCCCTGTTGAGTTTAGCTCATTCGACGGTTTAATGGTTACTCTGAAAGTTTTGCTCTAGTAATAGGGTGGGGGTTAGGCATTTATATTCTGCACCACAGCGCGTGTTGCATTGTGCGCTCAGATGCAAAACGACGTCATTTTAATTTTTATTTTATTTTTTTGAAATTTCGCTACCCAGTGATTGGCAGTTAATTTTCCTTAAAAAAAAAAAATTCATGTTCATAAATGTACATAATGTTATACTACAATACACATAATTGTATACATGAATGTACATAATTATAGAACAAAATACACATACTCTTTTTTAAAAGATAATACACATAATCTAACATAATACATAATAAACATAAACTTTTAACATAATACACATCAACTCTTAACATAATACACAAAAATTTCTTGATTCGGATGTACATAATTGTATAAAAAAAATGTACATAATTGTATAAAAAATGTACATAATAAAAATATACATAATCATATAAACAAATATACATAATCATGTCAACTTCCTACCGTGCCTCCCAAAACGACGTCGTTTTGGAAGGCGCGGGACTCACAGTGCACTGTGCGCCGTGGTGCAGGGTATAACGATTGGTGGGGGTTATTAAGAGATTCAAAGTCTAAAAAATTGATTAGATGTGATAAAGTTTTTTTTTTGCGCAAAATGTACGGGTTGGATGACTTGAAATGTATCTTATTGGGGTTTAGAATTAATTTAACATAGAGTAAATACCCAAAATGGTCCCTCGACTATAGCTAAATTCACAAATTGGTCCTCAACTTTTAATTTCAACCAATTAAGTCCTTAACTTTGCAATTTTAACACAATTTGGTCCTCTGTCTATTTGACCGTTTGTTGACTGTGACTTTTGAGGATATATATGTAATTTCATGGTCCATCGTCGGGTTTTTAAGGTTCCGGTTGCATTTCCAGACCGCACTGTTACATTTGAATCCACTGTCGAAAGCAATCTACCAAATCTGGTCGCCTTTCTTCATCCTCCCTTTGGATTCAATGTAGTTGAGTTCGTAATAGAGCGAAGAAGACGACGTGTTTCCGAACCAGTGCAACGTCATCCTGGAGGCCTCCATGTGCTTCGACGAGAGCTGAAGGTTCTTCTGGAGATTGTCGATCACGGTCAACAAATGGTCAAATAGATGAAGGACCAAATCGTGTCAAAATTGTAAAGTTAAGGACTTAATTAGTTGAAATTTAAAATCGAGGACCAATATGTAAATTTAGCTATAGTCGAGGGACTATTTTAAGTATTTACTCTTTAACATAAGATAGGAGTATAAAAAAAATTAGAGGATTCAATGATTGGACAGTAAGGTCAAGAGTGTGCATGGAGAGCTGTCCGTCACCGCAATTAATGTCGCTTTGTTTTTCAACATAGATAGACTGTTTTCATGAATTGACAACCATGTCATTTACTACAATTTTTTTTTATGGGTTACAGATTTTGAATGTGACTACACAACGACCATAATTTTAAAATATATTTTTAAGATATCACATACTCCGTATTCAATTATTCACATGCAAGATGTCGGTTGTACTAAATATTACTCCGTGTACCAATATAATTTTTTTAAAAAAAAAATATTTATTAATTATTTATCAAAGGAATAAATAATGAAGTTATAAGGAACTCGAGACAAGTTATACTTAAGTTCTGACACAGTCTCTCAGTTATGACTATTACTATTTTTAGCCCTTCAATTATGACCGTATGTATTTATAATTGAGTCTCAGGTTCCTCCATTACTATGACTTTTATGAGAATAGGAGATGAAAATGGATACGATCATAATTGATGGACTGAGTAGTCAATATAAGTATAACTCGGAAATTTAAATATGACATTTTTCCTTTTTAAAGTTTAATTCTATATAAAAATTCATTGATATTGCTATAACAATATTACAATAAATTTGATTAAGTCAATGCTATGAGTCTATGACATATCACATAAGAGTTAAAACATAAACCCAATGTTTTGGGATGTGGAGGTATTCTTCGAGAGAGATTTGGCAATTGGGTTGGTGGTTTCATGGGTAAAAGACAGGACATGAAGGTGGCAAAGATGGAAATAAAGTTGGGCAATTATGAAGGGGTATGGAGTAGGATTGGAACAAGGTCAGGTCATATTTGGTAAAATAGTTAGTAGCTAATTTTAGCTTGTTTGATCACTATAAGTTGTTTGACTTATTAAACAATCAATATGAATGTTTGATTAATTAGTTTTTCATAACAGCTTATTACTCCAAAACACTAAAATTCAAAAAGCTGCTCAAGGCAGCTTTTACGAAAATCATTTTGTATGTAATCAGCTATAAGCTAACAAGTAATTTACCAAACATCTTTCTGCAATAGCTAATGTTATCAACTAGTCAAACCCACTAACCCAATCAGCTAACAGCTATTTACCAAACACCCCCTATATGTTCAAAGCGATTCTAAATTAATCAAATTTAAATAAAACGACTAAAGAGAAAATTACACTTTTTGTCCTGTGACTATTGGAGTCTTGTTAATTTCAGTACTCGACTTTAAAAACTAACAATTTAGTCTCGTAACTATGTAATTTTCAACACATTTGGTCCTCCACCTTCTCTTCTTTCTTCGCTTCCTTCTTCTTCGCGTGCGCACAGTTGATGCAATGACAAGGACGAAGCATAAAACAAGGGCAACAAATAACTTTTCCCTTTTTTTAAATCAACCGTTTTGTCCCATAAATAAACAATTTAAAAATATTTACGTTTTTCCGGCAACATATGGCTGGGAGAATCAAATGTGTTGAAAATTACATAGTTACGAGACTAAATTATTAGCTTTTAAAATCAAATACTGAAATTAACAAAACCACAATAGTCACAGGACCAAAAGTATAATTTTCTCAAAGACTAAATTAATTCTCCTCATTTAATTTAGTATTTTTATTTGAATTTTGATTAATATTGTATAAAAATCTCCCTCATTTTAAGTTTTTAACCTATTTTGTGCAGTAGCATCTGCCATCTATATCAAATTTATTGCACATTTATTATGTTTCTTAAAAATGTATTAAATGCAATTTTCATATTTTTCCCTAATAGGGAGTTTGGTTAGAGGGGGGAATTATGTGGGAAAGGAATTGTAATTCCATGGGAGTTGAATTACTGGGAATAAAGTGAGAATTTAAATTCCAGTGTTTGGTTGACAGGAATAGAATTACTGGGAATTTCAATTCCAATGTTTGGTATACATGGGAATTGAAATGGAATAAGTAGTATAAAGTCAAAAATGTCCATTATTGTTGTTAGACATTAATTTTAGGTTAAAAAAGGAAGAGGTAATTTTGACTCATCAGTATCTTTTTTTCCTAGGATTTAAAATCCCAGGGGGACATGGGATTTTAATTCCATGAAAATGGGGGAATTGCAATTCCATGGAATTGTAATTCCCACCAACCAAACTACGGAATTTAATGGCTTTTGGAATTAGGTGGGAATTAAGTGGGAAGGGAATTTAAAATCCCTCCAACCAAACGCCCTATAAAAGGTTGAATTCCAACCTAAAAGATTCCTACGTTTTGACCCAACAAAACATTTGAGAGGATGTAAATCACTGCAACTCACTAACTCAGCAACAGTCATTTTTCATATTCTTCAAATAATTGACCCCTCTCTCTCTCTCATGTATATTGTAGGACAAGGTCCACATTGTACAAATTTTTATATCCTTAACTTTCTATATTTTAAATAAAACTCATGTTGATATTTTTTTAAAAAATAAATTTACATTACATAAAGTCGTTACTCTAAATACATAAATTTGATTAAAAAAGACATTATTGTATGTACATAAATTTACTACTATAAATACAAATATTCACTACTGACGCCATTTTCATGTATATCAGTACTAGTTTTTTTACGCACTTTGTGCGAATGAGATAATGCCCAATAATTATTTTTAAATAAGTATTCCAAAGTATATCAATGCAATATTCTATAGGAGATTTTCATGCATATGTAAATAAATGTTGAATTTGTTTATTTAAACCGTTAATTTAAAGTATATAAATGCAAGATAATATATGAGAGATTGATTATAATTGTCACTAAAATAAATGTTTGCAACTTTGTACAAACACCTATTGATATTTAGTAGTGGTAGTTTTTTTCCTACATGTTTCATGTGTTGTGAGATGTGTGTCGCAGGTTATCATGTGAAAGTATTGAACGAAATATTAATATTTATTATATTTGTATAAAATACTTGGTAAATAAATAAATAAATAAATAAATAAATATAAATATATATATATATATATATATATATATATATATATATATATATATATATATATATATATATATATATAACATGTTTTGTATTATAACTTTGATATATAATTACAAGGTAATGTAAAAAAGAAGACAATGAACAATGTAGTGAATATAATAAATTAATAAATTTGAAGGTAATGAATCTTTGAATTGTAGAAAATAAAGATAATATAACTAATGAAATTATATTTCTTTTAAATTTTTTATAATGAATAATTTTTTTTTAAATAAAGCATTATAGACATCTAATTCTAAATTAATTAAATGCATATGTATTCTTTTTTGTTGTAGCTACTAATTTATTTAATTAATAAGAGTAATAAAGTGTCGTACATACTTTTCTTCAACAATAATGAAATCAATGATTTTTTTTTTTTTAAATTTCCATTCCTTGTTGAGACAAATTGTTTTGTGAGTTTGTCCATAACAATTGCTACAATTGCTGTTAATAGAGGATGATAATAAATAATTCAAAATATATGGTTACAATAGATATTAATATAATGATATAGTAAAAATTAACTTACAAATTTTTTTAGAAGTTTTCATGCATTGATAAAATTTTGATGTGTAAACTTGTTCAATTGAAGCTAGTAGGATGTTAACATTGTCAATTATTTGAAAAATGATCCTACCGTTTTAGAGTCCATGTGTAATTGTATTTATGATCAACAACTTTGTAGTTAGGCCGCGCAGGTCTGACAATGATGTAAGAACATTGTCCGATAAAAAAATAATAGTATAATATTAGTAATGTAATGTACAATTGTACCATTATAAAAAAATACAAAAAAAAAAAAAAAATTAATACCATAATGGCCTAAATCATTCCAATAATGCAAAAGCATAATTGAAATATTAAGTTTTGTTCTAAATAATCAGAAGAAGATTAATTTAAAAAAAAAAAAAAATTAACATAAATTTGTTTTTTTTTTAATAAAAAAATTCAAGAAAATTAAATAATTTTAAAGTAGTTCCTGATTTATAATATTTGATGCTCAACTTTGAATGCTATGTATTTAGTCGAGCTAATTATTTGACCAAAGTTTATGTTAAATTTTATATTATATATATTTTTAATACATTTTTTTAACATATTCATAATATATGTTTAACAATTATGTCAATTATACTTGGGATGAGGTTGGAACCTAAGACCTTATATAAATTAAGAGTATGTTAAGAATAATAAATAGTTAACGGAATATATGTTTAACAATTATGTCAATTATACTTGGGATGGGCTTCGAACCTAAGACCTTATATAAATTAAGAGTATGTTAAGAATAATAAATAGTCAACGGAATATTCCGTTACTAAAGTTTAAACTAACGGAATTTAGGGTTATTTAAGGGAAGAAAATAATATAATAGAGGGTAAATAAGGAAAATCATTAAAAGATACTAAAATCAAAATAATATGAACCATTCATTTTAAGAAACAATTAGTACTGACATTTTTTTTGTTCCAGTTAAGGGCCTAACATTATTCGCTCGGGCCTAACATTATTCGCTCTTATTAGATTTGTAGATATACCCGCATGTGCAGCTCAACTGATCACAGAGGTGAAACTTTGAAAGAATGACCAGGGACCGAATCTGACCAGCGGCAGTGTGGGAGCAACCTCTCAAAGTGAGGGGGGTTCCTTGTGAGTAGTGACCACAGGTTGGTTCATGGTCAGTTGAGTTCCCACAACTTATATCCTCCCAAATGCTCTGGTCAGGGTGTGAGGTTCCAATAATATTAGTCTATACAATATTATTTTTATGTACTTACACAAGCCATAGATATAATAATTTACATAGAAAACAGAAAGATCAGCACAGCTTGCACAGCTGGCCTTTTTCTACCAGTGATTGCACAGCTTTTATAGGAATTAAAATTAAAATTGCCGTAAAACACTCGCATGATTTTTTTTGATCCGTTTAGTTTCTCAAATTACTCCTAATTCTCCAAAATCGTTAATCAAAAGGACAAATGTCTCAGTTTTACCCGGCAAACCAGTTGGTCGCTCCCTCCAAACGCGACTGGCTAGTCGCCAGTGATTATTGCCGAAAAGTGTAGAAAAAGTCACTAGAACCTTAGGTAAATGTAATTACAGGTTACGTACCAATCGATTTCTGGGCTTAAATGTTTCAAAATAACATTTTTATGAGTTCAATTGCAAACCCCAAATGCTAGGACTTGTAAGAAATGAGGCCAATATGAACATTTGTAATGTAGCAATACCACGCTAGTGGGTGGTGACCTAATATTTAACTAAGAATGATATATGGTAGGTGACACATTTCCATAACAAAACATGTGCCTACAAAACTAACACATGACCACCATAATACCAATAATGCACCCCAAGATAAAGAATAATTCAAAACAACCAAACACAAGAATTTTTTAATTCCATTAGAACACCAAAAACTATTCCTGGAAAGCACCAAAAACATTTCACATTTGACTAATCAAAGCATAATGTTCTCAGAGGTAGATTTCACAGTTCAACCACCAAATTGAGGGTCCCCACACCTTCATTTTAATAGAGACACTCAATTATGCTTCTCATTAAAGTCGCACTCCACACTTCTCCATCAACAATTATAAATCACGGGATATGTTCAATACGGTAATAACATGAATAACGTACCTGACATATGCGTGGCATTGTTGTATATACCTCGCGAGTGAGTTTGATATAAGCACTCTTAAAAACCAAAATGCAAATAGAGATGAGTCCAGTTTAGCACTCTTGACCTTTGATCAGAGACGAAAATTGAAGAGAGAGAGTGCATAACCCGATGAGGGGGGTTAAAAAAATAGATAGAATCCAGAAGCCTACACTGCACTAATCGTCTTAATAAATATTACAAGTATACACCGAGAATATTTGCTAAACTAATTCATTTCTTTCCCCCTAGTGGCGATGCCCGGGGGGCTCGGAACTAGGGGCTAGCTTGGGAAGACCTAAGAAAAATGTCGCCAAGGAAAATTTAATGAATGAAGAGAGATACACATAGGAGTTGCCGGAGAAAAGTTGCCTTGGAAAACTAACGTCCCTCAAAATTTCGGATTATCATATTTCACTGACCTCGTCTTCCCTACATACACCCACATCCACCGCCATGCTTTTTCCCTCGGAATTTAAGACTCTGCAGCAGTTCCTCCTCGGAGACTGTCAAAACGCAATTTAAAAGACGAAACATTAGAGTGTTGCCACACTAATGAACGGTGAGCTATTAATGATGTCTAAATATGTTTTACCATGTTAACTCTTTTAAGAAAAACATTCAAATCGGAGCAATCTTTTAAGTATTATCATAGTAAACATAAACAAGAATAAGGGGCTTACTCTATCCCATAAATGTGGATCGGGCTTCTTATAAACCTCTATTCTCTCAATTTCAGACGGTTGTGCCATTTTCCATTTGCACGCGGGATGAGGAACTCGGTGACGAGTATACTTGCTGACCGTTTGATTACCAAAAGGATCCATTTTTGCACTCGACAAATAAAAGACAAAAGGCTTTTGGCACGGGTTCCTCATTACGGGCCTCGTGTTAAAAGGATAGGCTGTATAATCCGCTCTCTTGTACCAATTCAAGAACGTCCTCGATGGCATTTCTATTTCACGGGGAGACAACACCCCACGAAAAATCTGAACCGCAAAGCCCCACGAAACAGAGATTGTCCAACTCCTCGCTTTGTCATAGCATATCGATTGTTGCAAAATACCAGCTGAGTCGAGGCTCGCTGGAATTAGAAGCCGCTTTAGAGCTTGCACTCGTGAAACATTGGGAAAGATCGGTTCCACCACATCCAGATGATGCAACGTGACCAATGGTGTCACCGGATGCGATGCTAGCAACCCGAATAAGTTCCCGTATACATCATACTGCATAACCAATCAAACAAGAAACATCATCATAATTTAGCTAACTCTGCATAACCTTTCAAGAAACCATTAACTACAAAAGCTAAATTGCATATAATGCTGAAAACCCCTGGCCTAGATTAAGCAAAAAATAAAGAAATAGATAACAGTTGATCACTATGGCTGCTTATTAATAACCCAAACACAATTGCAGGATAGACTCCAATCATAAGCACATATACTCTCATATTGTACTTGCACATTCAACAATTTGCATTCAAAATCGACTTTAAGCCTCGAATCCCCAAAGAGAAATAGCCACACACACAAGACAAGAGGCCTTTTGTTTAACTAAAGATTCTCAAGAAAACAACAAAAGCTTGCAACTTTGTGGTACCAAACCTATAAAAAGTCTCTCAATGTACAACCTGGAATCACTTGTTGTCTGGTTTGTCTCAAATCATAACTAGAACAAGAGAAGCAAAATAGTGAAAATACAAATCCTACCACAATTAAGCACATTCAATCAAGATTTCCCAATACAAAACAGAGTTTACCCAGTACAGACCCTCGGGTTTTGGCTGCAAAGTTACCCAATGCAACACAATTACACTTTCGGGTAGTGACTGTGAGTTTTCCTCGTTCAAATATTAAACTCACCTGGTGGAAGCCAAGTTCTTTGGTGAGTGGAACACCGAGTTCAGACATACAAGCTTGCATTCGATCATCGGAGCCATAGAGCCCGGGGTATCTCTGAATGCACCTATCCTGCATTTTGTCAAGAGCTTTAGCCAATGGGTAGCTAATGGCAAAGCCACCACCCCCATAAGCCATACTATAAGAGAAGTAAATGTTCTGCAAATGGCTCTCACTGGAACTCCCAATATAGTAAAACTGATTATGATCATACTTGTTGAGAATCCTAACCAAATTATCAGTTACAAAAACGGTGTCATCGTCCCCCATCACGAACCACCGCACGTTCTCCATCCCCAACCGGAGAGTCTCCGACACGATCCGCGAAATCCGGATGGCGGACCGGTGCCCCTGCCGGTTCTTGTACGCGAACCGCGAGGTGTCCTCGGAGATTCTCAATTCCGGGAGGGATGAACCCTCCCCTTTCGCCGTCTTCACCGCCTTGTCCAACCACACTATTCCCCTCATCTTCTCCTCCGGCTTCCACCATAGCTTCGTGTAATTCTTCCGCTTGTCCCACAGCTTCGCCGACGCCGCAATGCCGAACACTATATGCTCCAACCCCGTTCTCTCACTTCCCCGGACCGCCGTGGAGTTGATTTCCCGGCGAATGGGCAAGGCGGCGCTATGTCGGTGAGGGAAAACGTCGTCGTTGCAAGTCCTGGAGCTAGAAACCAGCTTGAGAGTATACACCACGTAGGTAACGGACACAAATAGAATGAGCCAGACCATGAATTTGGCCATGGCTCGATTCTGCGACCCAGGAACCGAACGAGGCGTGCCGGAAGAAGGGTTCTTCATCTGATCCCAGATGATTTTCTCAGAATCCTTATCCCTCTGTAACACCTTGATCGTCATTGCCTCAACCGCTCAACCCAAAACCAGTTGGGTTGGAAACGATCGAACTTACAGCGCCGGAAACAATGGCTTGTCCGGCAAATATTACGGCAAAAAATCAAAGCTTTGAAGCAAAAACGCGGCAGATCTAAGGAATAAGGTTCTGGGCTTTCGAAATATTCAAAGATGAAAAGAATTTGAGTTGCTTTGTTACAGAAAAAGAGGAAAGTAAAGGGGGAGATAACATGCATTAACTGTGGTTTTCCGCAGTGAGGAAGAAGCACTGCGCCCCCATCAATGAGCTTAAACCTTTCACAAGAACAGAGAAGACTAAAAACAATTTTACATTATTTCTAGGTCTCTACCAGTCTACTACTATCTACGGTCTACCGTATAAATTACTCCCTATTAATTACATTTAATTTATGCGTAATCTTATTCCATTAACCCAATTTGTTAACTCCATTGGAATTTCAAGAATCCACGTAAATTTTTTTTTTTATTATATAGCAATATTTATAAAGTATTATATTTTTGTTGTATATAGTAACGTTTTCGGTGAACGATTTTCAGAATAGAATTGGATTGAATTAATTTTATATGTTAAGATGTGAATATTAGAAGAAATTTTTTATTCGAATATATTACTCATTTAATTAATGATAATATGCAACAGCTATCCAAATGTGGGTTGTGGGTGAAAGTTACATTTCTCTACGGTATATATTTGGTGAAATTCATTTGATATCTAATTATTCTATATCCTTGATACAAGCAATTACTCCAATTGCAATTTTTTCTTGGAATAAGGGTCAAATAGGCCATCGAACTGCACACAATAAAACAATTAGGCCACTGAACTTAAAAAACCAACAATTGGGTCCCTAAACTAATCAATTTCAAACAATTCTTTCAATTAGAAGGTTTCCAACAGGTCATCCTTCCAAATTAATTATTTTTTAAATTTTAAAAATTAATTATTTAAATTTAAAAAAAAAAAAAAAAAAAAAAAAAAAAAAAAAAAAACTGGTTCCAGCTCCAGCTGGATTCCAGTTTTTTTTTTTTTAATTTAATTTAAAAATAATTAATTTTTAAAATTTATATTTTAAAAAAATAATTAATTTGGGAGATGACCTGTTGACCTGTTAGAAACCTTCAAATTGGAAGAATTGTTTGAAATTGATTAGTTTAGGGACCTAATTGTTGATTTTTTAAGTTCAATGGCCTAATTGTTTTATCGTGTGCAGTTCGATGGCCTATTTGACCCTTATTCCTTTTTTCTTTAATTCTTCCAAAAGTTAAATCCTAACTCTAAAGGCCTCTATACCCCGACCCGACAAAGCATTTGAGAGGATATAAATTATGGTAACTTAACTGAACATGAATCACAGGGACTAGACCTTTACTTACTGTGCACAAGGAGCTCTCCTCACTTTGAGAGGCAACTCCCACACTGTTGCTATAATTTGTTCTTTAATTGATTTGATGAAATGGTGATTTAGAAAGCATCTTAGATGTTACTTAAGGAAAGTGCATAAAAGCTCTTATTTAGACTGCTAATATGTAATGGTCCGCAAACTACACATTACAGGACGTTTGGTTGGAAGGGGGGAATTATGTGGGAAAGGAATTGTAATTCTATGGGAGTTGAATTACTGGAAATAAAGTGGGAATTTAAATTCCAGTGTTTGGTTGATAGGAATAGAATTACTGGGAGTTTCAATTCCAATGTTTGGTATACATGGGAATTGAAAGGGAATAAGTAGTATAAAGTCCAAAATGTCCATTATTGTTGTTAAAAGGAAAGATTAGACATTCATTTTAGGTTAAAAAAGAGAAGGGTAATTTTGTCTCATCAGTATTTTTTTTCTTCCTAAAATCTCAGGAATTAAAATACCAGGGGGGACATGGGATTTTAATTCCATGAAAATGGGGGAATTGCAATTCCCTCCAACCAAACTACAAAATTTAATGGCCTTTGGAATTATGTGGGAATTAAGTGGAAAGGGAATTTAAAATCCCTCCAACCAAACGCCCTGTGAAAGTTAAATCGTATTACATTTTATTTTCTAATGTGAAACCCACGCTCCACTTATTTGATTACCCTTTTTCTTTCTTTCTCTTTCTTCAAAGTAGTACATGATACATAACAAAAATATATATTTTTTGCATTTTTGTGGGCAAAAATATATGTTTTCTAATAGGTGTCCCTAGGCCGTTCCACTTTTACAGTTAGGAGCCCAAAAATTGACCGGCCGCTTAGGCGGCGAAATTGGTCAAAATCAGTCTAGTCGGTCAACTCGGTTGAGTCGGTCGATTTCGTCCGATGTCGTGTGGTCCAGTCGTCCGTAAACTAGTTTGATACGCTAAATTTTTGGCTGATTGAAGTATTTGAGTATTTCATATTTGTGTATTTTTTATTTTTTAATATTATTTTAATGTTATGACTTATGAATTATCATTATTTCATTTATTTAGATGTGTTATTTGATTGAATGTTGAAAACAATCTCATTAAAATTGTCAAATTATAAGTCTGCCACTATTTTTTGATGTCCACCTAGTATCGCCTAAGTCGCACAAGCTCTAGGCGCAGTCCAAACGCCCGACTAGTGCCTAGCGCTTAGTGCAACTATGAAAAATACGGAGTACTAAAACAATGGAGATGCGATGTCGTGGGATAAATAAGTTACTTCTTTCTTTTTATCATAGTTCTACATGCAGGGAGCGATGGACACGTGGTCTTAATCAATCCGGTGGTCGGGCCGGTTGGATATGGCCCGTGTTTTGGGACTTGCTGGAGACAAACGTCAAACCGACTCAAACGGTGGTTCAAAAAAAAATGTGAATTTTCTCGTCATCCAAAATGTTGGCACGCTCATACCTACAATTTTATAATGTAACATTAATTATGTTTTTTTGGGTTAATTGTGTTTTCTTGTTATTGGTTTTCCAATAGGCGTGCAAACAAATTTTACATTGCATATTCAACAATCCACCCACCACCATTACTTATCTCCATCATCACATTCTTAATGTACATTTTTATAATTCATAATGTATATTATAATATAATATACATATAATATACATATGCATTATTCTAAAACATAATGTACACTATTCTAACTCATAAAATATATTATCTTAACCTAAAAGTTACATTATTCTAACACATAAATTAAAATATATTATTCTAATTCATAAAATATATTATTTTAATTCATAAAATTTAATAACGTCGTTTTGGACCATAGCTGTGTGGACCGTAATTTGCCAACTACTTATTGTTATCATCAATACGAAATACAATTGTCACTTGTATTCTGCATTTGCATTTCATATAAAAAGTAATTAAATTTAAAATAAATATGTATTTTAAATTATTTCCAAAAAGAAATAAAAAAAAAAAATTGAATGACAAATCCTTAGATTTATGTCTGTTTTCTTTTAATTTTGGGTTACTTTTGAATTCAGTAATTCCACCATTATTTTCCTTGCCAGCAAGAAAGTGAGGATTTTATGCTAATTATGATTAGCAACTCCCAGTTTTCCGGTAACTATATTAAATTCTTTCTTCTTTCAAAGATAATTTTTTTATTTCAATTTTTGTCACCGGATTTCCTTTTCACTAACGGAATTTTTTCCTTTTTGGCCCCTGATTTGCAAAAGCAAAGTTTATTGTGTGAGCAAATCAAGTAACAAAAAAATGCAAAATTTGTGAAACTTTAACTTGGAAACACGTATCAAGATTCCAACACCACAAGAAAAACCTCCAAAGTTTTTTTGGTTTAATCACAGTTTTTTTTTTAATATATCAAAATTAATTTCAGCGGAATTATTTTTTTTGTGATAAGAAAAATCTGCAATCATTACTTAAAAAGTGTACACCAAGTACATCACGCCTTATAACCTTAGCTAACAAAGGACCATATAAAGGTAAAACAACTCAGGTGCTCATAATTGACTGGCTTAAACCAAGAAGGTCAATAAATCACTCACACTGAAAGTCAAACTTAAAACATTGTAATTAACAAATTAACTTAGTTAGGGTTGACCGAAATCGAAACTATTTTTTTGTTGGTAAACCTAGAACGGTGACAAAGTACGATTTTTGGTTAAATTTGAAAGACCATACAATCGACCTTATCTACGTCTCATAAATAAAATTTTGTAATTTAATAATTAATTAACATCTTCCAAAGAAAGTAATATGTGAAAGTGTGATATATTCGCCTTTCCAATTTATGTTTTAATATTTATCTCCAAAATATAATAGGAAAGTTTGCAATAAGGGGAAATTGTTAAAGCTCTTTGCATCACGCAATTAAGCAGGGCAAATTATGCCCTGGACCTGTGTCCACAGTGAATTGTGGACACGGGCCCAAAACGACATCGTTTTTCAAAAAAAAAACGCGTCATTTAGTTATAAAAAAAAATTTTCACGCGCGTTTTGCCGTTAACGGCGTTATTTTTTTTTTATTATGAATGTACAGTTATGCCATTATGAATGTACAGTTATGCCGTTATGAATGTACAGTTATACAATTATGAAATTATGAACACAGAGCTCTAACATTATGAACTTACAATTATGAACATATATAGTGATAAAATTATGACCATGGAGCTTTAAAATTTTGAATATAGAGCTTCGAAGATTATGAATGTACAGTTATGGAGTTATGAATCTACAGTTATGAGATTATGAATCTACAGTTACGGAATTATGAATGTATAGTTATTGATCGAATTATGAACAAAGAGCTCTAACATTATGAACTTACAATTATGAACATATAGTGATAAAATTATGAACATAGAGCTCTAAAGTGTGAACATAGAGCTTCGAAAATTATGAATGTACAATTATAGAGTTATGAATGTACAGTTATGGAGTTATGAATGTACAGTTATGGAGTTATGAATGTACAGTTATAGAGTTATAAATGTACAGTTATTAATAATATAGTAATAAAATTATAAATATATACTCTTATAACGAAGCGTCTGAAATTTAAAAAAAAAAAAAAAAAAAAAAAAAAAAAAAAAAAGGAGATAACAATGTCTAACGGCACTGTTACCCGTGTCCAGCAAGCATGCTGGACACGGGTCCAACGCATAACGATTGATTAAGCAGAGTGTCCTTTTCCTTCTCTTATCAATACTCTCTTATACGACAAGTCAACTGCATTTTGCAACGGCACTTGTTTTTTTTCGTCGTTTTCAACGAAGATGTGGTTTTTTTGATCACTCGTTGTCGCCGTCAACATTATGGAAAAACTGCACCCATCGTTACGTTTTACTGCT